CTAAAATGGCCATTACCTCCTTAGACAGCAAAATGAAATACAACCAAGTGTCATTAACAAATAAATGGATAAACAAGAAGTAGTATATACATACAATGAAATATTATTCAGTCATATAAAGGAATGAAGTTATTTAGAAGGGGAGAAAAAGAAATGAAGTTCTGATGCATGCTATAATATGGATGAAGGATGAATCTTGTAGACATTATGCTAAGTGAAATAAGCCAGACACAAAAGGACAAACATTGTATAATTCCACTTATATGAAATATCTAGAATAGGCAAATTCAAGAGACATAAAGTAGATTAGAGGTTACCAGGGGCTGGGAGAGGGGGAAGTTGGAAGTTATTGCTTAATGGTTACAGAGTTTCTGTGTGGGATGATGAAAAGATTTTAGAAATAGATAGTGGTGATGGTTACGCAACATAGTGAATATAATTAATGCCACTAAATTGTAGACTTAAAAATAGTTAAAATGGCAAATTTTATTACATGTATTTTGACAACTTAAAAAGTTTATAACATAATATACCAGAAACTATTGACTTGTATGCTTCAAATGGGTCAATCATGTTATATGAATCATAATCTCAAAAAAACTATTTTAAAAAATCCAAAAGTTTCTAGCAGCCACGAATATTAAACAGTCATAGAACTTCCTTTCTTCCTTATTACAAGTAGGTTTGAGCACCGAATATGTATACATGTAAATTCTGCTCAACATAAAAGTCTCAGAACACTCTGTTTGCTAGAGTCTAACTTCTACAAAAGATGATCAGTTTCCATGCCTGTCACTGATTCTTTAAATTGAACAGAATTGTGCATTACAAGCCACAATTTTCTTTGGGTCCTGGACCTTTAATGAAATCACAGAATTTCAGAGTAAGAAAGACTCTCAGATAATCAGGTCAAAAAACAAACAACATTCTGATGACTTCCATTTAAAAAGATGTGCATAAAACATGTTTTCTGCATAATTTCCTCTATAAAACAAAGAAAGCAGTACTATTCCAGGTTTCAGTATGTCTTTTTAAAAAGTACTTGCAAAACCCTCAAGAGGCTTCAGTTTTTCTCATAGAATAGTCACCTTAACATTCACCAAACTATGGTAAGGCACCATAACTGGCTTTCATCCTACCCTCATCTTTCTCCTTTTGAGAAGCTAGCTTCCTGTGTTACCTGTTGTTGAGACGGCTCCGACTACTGGCAACCCTATGAATGAGTGCTGTCCACAATGGCCCTGCTCAGCTCCTATAAGACTCATGCCTATGGCTTCTTTTATGGATTCAATCCATCTCATATTTGGTCTTCCTCTTTTCCTGCTGCCTTCTCTTTTTTCCTAGCATTACTTCTTTTCCAAAGAACCCTGTCTTCTCATGATGTGCTCGAAGTAAAACAGCTTTAGTTTTGTTGCTTTTGCCTCCAGTGACGTTTCAGGCTTACTTTGCTCTAGAACCCACTTGTCTTTCTGGCGGTCCAGGGTATCCATAAAGCTCTCCTCCAACACCAAATTTCAAATGAGTCAATATTTTTCCTTTTGGCCTTAGGCAGCTAGCCTTAAGCTAGCTGCCTAAGGCTCCTCAATTTGAAATTTTGTGCTTTCAGGTAATTTTCACTGAAAGCCAACCCTCCAATTGCATTTTCTCCAAACATGTGAAACAATCAAAGCCAAGCAAACAAAAAAGACAAGCATCCAAATCGGTCTTCTGATACTCTAGAGAACTTGCTGGTGACCCCTTCCGACACCTGCTCTTCTGAGCTCTTCTGAGACCTGTGACAGCCCATGCTTCCCCAGCAAAGCAGCAACATGCCTATTACTGACAAAACATGACTTCTAAATACATCCACATTCCCGCCTTCCCAGAGCAGTCTTTGAACTTTTCAACATCTTTTTAAAATGCACTCAAGTTGTACAAAATGAAAAGAATTCTGGAGATCCTGGTACAGAGGTTCTTCAAAAAAGTAAAAATAGAACTACCATATGATCCAGCAATTCCATTTCTAAGTATTTATCTGAAGAAAATGAAAACACTAAAAAAGATATATGCACCCCCATGTTCACTACAGCATTATTTACAATAGCCAAGATATGTCAATCAACGAATGAATGGTTAAAAAAAAATGGTATGTGTATGTGTGTACACACAATAGAATATTATTCAGCGATAAAAAAATTACGAAATCTTGACACTTGTGACAACATGGATAGACTTTAATGGCATATGATCTCACTAATATAAGGATCTGAAAAAAAAAAAAAAACCCAAGCTCATAGATAAAAAGAAGAGACTGCAGATTGCCAGAGGCAGGGGAGGTGGGCGAGTGAAATGGGTGAAGGGAGTCAAAAGTTATAAACTTCCAGTTATGAAATAAATAAGGCATAAGGATGTAATGTACAGCATGGTAGCTATAGTTAATAATACTGTATTGCATATTTGAAAATTGCTAAGAGAGTAGATCTTAAAAGTTCTTATCACAAAAAAAAAATTTGTAATTATGTGCAATGTTGGATGTTAACTAAACTTACTGTGGTGACCATTTTGCAATATACACAAATATCGAATCATTATGTTGTACACCTGAAACTAATATAATTTATAGATCAATTATATCTTAATTTTTAAAATAGGAACATCCAGGATAGGATCTTCTGTGTATTTTGGTTCATGGTTCCCAAACCCGACTTGCCATCAAAGTGCTCTAGGAAGGTGTGGGGTGTGTGCGGGGTGTGTGCGGGGTGTGTGCGGGGTGTGTGCGGGGTGTGTGCGGGGTGTGTTTTTAAACAGATTTCTGAGCTGAACCCTATAGATTCAGATTTAGCTAAGTATGAGGTATAGATTAGGAATCTATAAAATCTGAAAATGCTCCCTGGGAGATTCTAGATGATCAACCATGTTTTAGAACACCTATCTTAATAAGTTTCTTTTTACAAAAAGAGACTATTTTACCTCTAGTCTCACTTTCTATTTCTATTTAATAAGCAACAAAATAGCTTACTGCAAGCTTAACACTGCACTAAAGGTTTACATGCATTATTCCTTTAGTCATCACAACAGCCCTGTAAGACAGGAAGATAGTATTATTCACATTTAATAGAAGAAGGCACCAAAGTCTAGAGTAATTACTTAACAAAATTATTCAACCAGAAACCAAAAAGGTTAGAATTAAAGCCACAGTCTCCAAAGCCCACCTCTTCTGGAAATATGGTACAGTAAAATAAACAATGGCTTTAAATAGCTGAATTCGAATTCCAGTTCTGAAACCTTTTTGACAGTTATCTCTCAGCTTCATCTATTTCTTCACCTATAAGTGAGGCTAATAATAATACCTATCCTGTCTAACTCATGTTTTTGTAAGAACTAAGATGTGAACGTGCTTTCAAAAGTTACAGAAAAACAAGCTATTAATGAAGGAGTTGGAGAAGATTCAGAAACAGTATAGCAGAGTGAGTGGTTAAATGCTCAGACTTTGGAGCCGGAGTTCATGTGTTTCAATCAAAGCTCTGCTATTTCCTAGCTATATGACCTTAGGGAAGTTACTTTTCTAGCTATATGACCTTAGGGAAGTTTCATATAGCTATTTCCTAGCTATATGACCTTAGGGAAGTTTCTTCATCAATAAAATGAAGATAATAATAAAACCAATCGCAGAATTTTGTGAGAATTAAACTGATTAATGTATTTTAAATACTTAGAATAGTGTTTGTCACATAGTAAGCACTGGATGTTAAATAAATACTGGATGTTAGAATATTATCCAAAAAAGGTCAAATACTTAATGACAGTATAAAATGAGCCTAGAAGGTGCTGGTATTTTCTCCCCTTATTCATCTGGTTATATCCCTCCAAATTTGGAAGTAAACATTTTGAGTAGTTTCAATTTTCAACTAAAACTATGTGGCTTCCAAAATACTTCATTCATGCAAATACTTTAGATTGTTATAATGTACTATTATTTCAATTTTAAATATCTTTTACCTTTTTATCTAAAAATATCTCCCTGATTTTTTAAAGTAATTTTGTTAAAGTAATATAAATTTTGTCATCAGTTTTTATAACTTTTCTTTGTTTCAAATATCCTCCTACAGAATTTGACTTCTAATTCAAAAGCTAAGTAGCTTACCAGAGGAAAAATATAACAATGAGCTGGGTCAAAAAAGACTGTGTAATATGTCAAAAGGAAACAGCACTAGCCCTAAATGAGTTAGTTACCAAGAATAACAAAGAGGAAGTGACAAAGGAATAATTCTCACCAAAAGAATATAATTTAATAATACAGTACTCTAAGCAATTTGTATCCTAGATTAGTTTATGGTCAGGTCTGGAACTGCAGATAGAATTAGAGTCTGAAACAAAGTTGGCACCCCACTAAGAAATCACAGCTGAGAGTTACCTTAAATTTCCAATACGCAACGGGAAACGTTGCCAGTGATTCAATAGGTGACAACCCTTTCTGTCCCTTTTTCTTTTTTCTGAGTTGTCAACAAACTGAAACAAAAAATGCTTCAAAAGCCCTGTTACTAACTAAAAGTTAAACATAAAAATTCTACTGCAATATTTAAAAAGAAAACAGAAAGACACTGAGCAGATACCAAATAGGATTATTTGTCCACCTTTTTACAGTGCCCCATGGAATAAATTAACCGTATATAGCCCAAAAAGCATTTCTATAAAATATTTATCATATCTTTAAGATTCTCATTACTTTACGCTTCAATGCTAAAGATTATTTATAAATTTCAATACTTGTCCCATTAGGACAAGTACCTGGAATTAAAATAATCCACAAAAGTAAAATGAAAAATTAATTTTAGATGAGATAGATATCCAAGTAAAAAGATAATAACTATATTTTATTTTAATACAGTATTTTAGAAGCCAGATACAACATTTTATTCACAGTAAGCATTCTGAAACTAGCTCAATGAATGTCTGTATTGCTCTCACAGAAAACATTCTCATCTGTGCATGTCAGTGTTGAGAGGGAGTTTTCCACACACCTCTCTGGCAATGTTACTCAAAGCTTCATCTTCTGCAGAAAATCGGTCTTTCACAGGTGTTCTTTTCCTTCCTGAACCAGGAGTCCCCATCTTGTCTTCTTGATCTTCTTTTAACTCTGAAAAGTGATTTCACTCTTGTCAGCCCTGAAATAAACAGAAACAGAATAATTTAAGATGTTTCTCTTTGTGCAATGTTAATGCTCATTTATAGATTGACTTTTAACAAAGAGAAATTATATTTATGTATTTACATATAAATTAAAATTAATCACCAATATTTGTTCTCATTATCAAATTATTCCAATAGATTTTAGAATATTTAAATTTATACTAATACTAATTACTGAACCTCCCAACTCTTTTACCATAATGCCCATGGAAGCTTATGAGAATATGTTATATTACCCTCAGAAAACTGCAGCCAACGGTGATTCTACTTGTTTAAGATTACTACAGCTATTTCTAAAATCTATTTCCACTCCAGAGCAAAAAAAAACATTTGAGAAAAGACATTTAACCTAAAACTTGGAGAGAACTTATTCAAAAATTTTTAATATAGTGCCTTAGTTACAAAGGTAACTTGGTTTTTTAGTGTAATTTAAGAAACAATTTCAGTTAAACTATTACCACATAAAAGGTTAAATGAAGGTTTACCATACTGCAATTAACAGTAACCAACACTGTCCATGCAACAAATATCTGAGTGCCTGCTATTGATAGGACTATGGTAGGTGAATATACAGGAATGAACAAAACTGACATAGGTTCACGATTAAGAACATATCTATGGATCTATTGTTGTTGTTATAATTGTGAAAAGTTTATTTTTACAATAGAGAAGAAGAATTAATCCTTTAGGATTAAATAACAAGGATGATAAAGACCATCTAAACTTTCTAACATGTGGTACATATTTGAAATTAAAGATTCTCATGAGAGAATGTATCCTAATTTGTATGACTCCCTCTCTCCTATAGTCTTAGTACAGCTAGCTCATTTAGCTAAATATCCATTAACTTAAATTTTTTTCGTAGCTTTAACAAAAATAAACTGGCAAATTTCATTACACTATGAGTCACAAAGAGATTCTCAAGTAAGTTTGTCCTAATATATTAAACTATATTAAAACTATAAGTGAACTTAATGTACTAAAATTTACTTGATTTAGGCAAATAAAACAGAACCACTCTGTCATTCTATTCTTCCAAAAAGGTTTTCTCCAATAAAATTCAAGCCATTCTCAACTCTTACCTGACACCATTTCTTATTCTCACGGAGCTAGCTTGTTAAGTTTGTCAATCAGAATGAAGACTGACTCTGCCATAGAAAATATATCTAGATATAAGTATGAAAAAAAACTTATAAATGGAAACAAACAAAAAAACTGATGTCTGAAAGCAGCAGCTGATAAATCCAAGCCATGAATCAGGACAATTTATGAAAAGCACAGAGGAGTTTTCTCAGAAGTCTCCCATCATCTCCATCCTCAGCATAATTTAAAGATCATTAATCACTTAATAGTAATGGTATACAAATATTAATCACCTATTGAGAAAAAAGCATCATGCTCAAAGTTCCCTTTCAGACTAGTGACAAATTAGCTAACGCACTTGTCCTTCAGCCAGTTTTCCAAGGACACACTGGAAAACATTTCACAGAAGTAGGATACAAAAACGTAGGCATTTTCTAATTCTAGACACATAAAAATAATCACAGAAGAAAAAAAAAGAGATTCGGGGGAAGAAAAAAAATGGCATAGATGATAGAGGCTCTGTTCCTCCCTCTGGCAACCAAATCAAAGTTGTGACAGAAACAAGGAGCAGCAAGCAAGAAAAAAATCACCTGGGATCTAGATGAAGAAGCCTTACAACTAGAGAGAAACCCAAGAAATCATCTTGCAATGGCAGAAGGTAGGACGGGGCGAGGACGCAGGGCTGCCTGGTCTAGAGCAGCTGCGTGAGACAGAGGCTGCGGCAGCGGCTGAAGACTCTTAAAGGGGCTGCGGCCACGAGCGGATTTTCCTGATAACAAACCTGCTCACTCTGAGCACCAGCGCCGCTATGGCTACACGCAGGGCGCACCAGGGACTTACAGGGAGACATTGTCAGAGTGAGGGCCTAGGCAAGACTCGCTCTATACAGAAGTGCCGGCAGTATCCACTGTTCCCTGTTGAGCCCTCCAGGTCCCAGTGTGCGGACATAGCACCACCATAGCCTTGACGTCATCAAACTGGATAACAGAGGTTGCTCCGCCCAGAGGATTCCCTGAAACCCCACCTCTCCCAACTCAAGGCCCCACTCAAGCCGCATCCAGGTTTATCCTCAGCGAGTCAGGTGCTCCTTGCTGAGCACTGCCTAGACTCACACTGGAAGCAGCTGGCCTCGGTTTCTGATGTGCCCTTTTGAGGCAACTATAAGCACAGCATCTGTGGACTGCTTGCTGAATCATGACAGGTGGCCCCAGAAGAGAAGAGGCTTGGGCTAAATTTGGCCTGCAGCTGAACTCCTCTCAGGACTGTGCCACTGGACACCTACTTCACAAATCCACACTAATAAGACCGGGAGACGTAGGAGCTTTGCTTAGTACATAGAAATAGACACGGAAAGGCAGCCAAAATGGAAAGACAAAGAAGCAGAAACCATATGAGAGAACAGAACAGAGATCCAGATATAATGGAGTTAAGTAATCTAACAGATGCAGAGTTCAAAACACTGGTTATAAAGATGTTCAATGAACTTTTGGGAAGAGTAGATAAATTCAGTGAGAACTTCAACGAAGAGATAAAAAACATAAAAATGGAAATGAAAATTATAAAACGTAACCAATATGAAATGAAGAACGCATTATCTGAGATGAGAAGTATGTTAAATGGCATAAACAAAGGAATAAACAAAGTGAATAAAGAAAAGGATCAAATGCCCTATCTAGAGGATGAGAAAGCCAAGGACACATAATCAGAATGGCAAGAAAAAAAAAGATACCAAGGCTATAAAAATAATTTAAGGAGCATATAGGATACTATTAAGGGTCCAAATATCCATCTGATGGGCATACTTGAAGAAAATCAAGATTTTGAACAGCTGCTTGAAGAAATACTGATGGAAAACTTCCCTCACCTGGTGAAGGAAATGGACATAAAACCCCTGGAAGCTCAGAGAATTCCAAAAACCAGGGATCCAAAGAGGCTCACAACAAGATATATTATAATTAAAATGCCAAAGGTTAAATACAAAGAAAGAATATTAAAAGCAGCAAAAGAATAGCAGATAGTTACCTATAAAGGAACATCCATAAGACTGGCAGCAGATTTCTCAAAAGAAACTATGCAGGACAGAAGGGCTTGGCAAAAAAATATTCGATAGGATGAAGACCCAGGATCTACAAGCAAAAATACTTTATCCAGCAAAGCTATCATCTAGAGTTGAAGGACAGATAAAGAGATTCCCGGACAAAAATAAGTTAAAGGAATTTATCACCACCAAGCCAGTATTACAGGAAATGTTGGAGGGACTTCTTTAAGAAGAATAAATAAAAAAGACTCATTTCAGATTAAAAAACACACAGAGACTAAAAGGAAAGGGATGGAAAAGATATTGCTTTGATGGACCTAGAAGGTATTTAAGTCAGACAGAGAAAGATAAACACTATATGATTTCACTTATATGCAGCATCTAAGGAATTAAAAGAACAAACTAATCAAAAACAGACTCACAAATATAGTGGACAATTTGGTGACGGATAGAGGGGAAGGAGATTTGGGGGACTGGGAGAATGGGGTGACGGGTTAAAGAAGTACAAATTAGTAGCTGATGGACGGTCACGGGAATGGGAAGCATGGCATAGGGAATGCAGTTAGCATTAATATATTGGCTAGGTGGAGGGTTGGGAGAGGGAGGGAGCAATTAGGCGTATCGTTTTATGAACTATATAGATGTGTAACCAATGTACTGTATACTTGAAACTAATTAAGATAAATAATTTTTTAAAAAAGAAATAAGATTTGGCTGGAAGTATATGTAACAGTGGCTTCATTAGAAGGATAGGATGACGGTTGCATTTTTTTTTTTTCATTCTTGATTCTCTAAAATTTCAACAGCATTGGAGAGAGATGCATTTTAAAAAAATAAAAACATTCACATCCAAGGCTCAAAGAATAAACTGGCCCCCAAGTGGACTGCACTGAAATTAGGTACAAATTAGGTACAATATGCAATACAGCTGAGACACACTATCTAAAGCCACGGCTGGTGTCACTCTTTTGAATATATTTCTTTCTCCTCTTTCCCCAGAATCTATTTTGCTTCTTTCTCAACTAACACTCCCTTAGACCTTAGACCTGCCAGGATATTCCAAGCACACAGATTTACATAAAGAATTATCTTTTCTTAAAAAATGCTTCAAAACAAAACTATTTCAACAAGCTTCAGGCTAACCTGAGAGAAAGATGACAAGAAAAGGAACACAGGCAGAGGCTAAGTAGGAAATGGGAAAAATGTCCTGTCTTCCTTTCCCTTATCCTATCTATAGGTTCCTACGTGTTTACTTGACTGACAGGCCAGGTCCTATCACCTTTTTCAACTGTACAAGAGGCAGATTAACTATTACTTATTTCAAAAAAACAATCTAGTGCTTTTGAAAGAATTATATAATTTGTATTCTGCAGGCAGGTATCCTTAAAGGTTTTCAGCTCCTATGCAAACGATCTTCTAATAATTCCAGAACATTCTATATCAGTGATAGAGAGAATCCTTAAAAGAAATAAGATTCCTGGCATATCCAACGGAAAAGTGCTTTTCAACAAGATGACAAAAATAAGGACGTAGACTCAAATAGATTATTTCCAGTTTCTGATCCTGATAGAACTTTCAGTCAGGTTCTATCTCATGTCACATTTAGAAAAGAACCCTTTTCTTCTGGAGCTATGTTCTCCTCTTCCAGCTTTTCCTTAGTGGTACTGACTAAACCAAGAGCTGAACCTTTACATCCACTGAAAAGAACAAAACTGCCTGCTTTTTTGTCAAGTCCTTTACCTAGGCAATGTCACACTGATTTTTCTCCAGATGGTTTCGCCATTAAGTATTTGTCTACCTAAGGGAAAGAAGGGAAGTACCTTCAGAATGTTGTGGAATATAAACCTTCCAAAATAG